GATGTGCCTCCCCCGTCCTCTGTTTTGGGATCCGGGGGGATCAATTTTTTTTGTTGAACTCATGTTTGTTGAGACTTCCGTTAATTAATCATGAACTTTAATTTGTGCGATGTGGAAATTGTGCTTGATGATGCAGGGAAGGTATCTCAACTTCTCACAAGCTCCCTGCCAATATCTCTTGGGAGAGGATGTCTGGGTCCCTCTACAAAGGCAGCCCTCAATTGGGTGGTGGTATAATCAAGGTAAGTTCACTCACCTACTCTCTCACTCACTCACTCACTCACTCACTCACTCACTCACTCACTCACTCATTCACTAAATCAATCAATCGAAGTGAAGCCGCTAGTACCTTTCCCATATGTCGGTCGAGGGCACTACGAGCCGGCTTGAAAATCAAGACTGGCCGCCGATTCAATTTATCAGTGGTCGCCCTTTTGTTTCAGGCCAACGCTTTACCCAACGCGCCTTTACAAAAATAGTTGGGAAAGGTACTGGTGGTTGAAGTGCCACACACTCACTCACATTAGGACTTAAGTCATCTCATCCATGGACGTTATTACATTCAGGAGCATTGAGGCGGGACTGTAAAAGCGGTAACAACTGTCACAATATCCAGGAAAGTATCGTGTGATATGACCACACTCTAGTCGCTCACTCAATTACTCTCTCGCTCGCTCACCCAATGCCAATGTAACGACGACAAACTTTTTTGTCGACCCCTCATCCACGTATTTCCCCAGGCTCGTTCGCTCGCTCCCTAAGTGATTTGTCTTCAAGTTCAATCCAATGACAACTTTCTTTTTTTGGGGGGGAGGAGGGGGGGCGTGAAGAGAGGGGGGGCGGAGGGAGGAAGGAAGGAGAGGAAATGCATTCCACAAGACTGAACAATGCGGCCGCTTTGAACTCCTTCCAAACAAGCCGGGTCACCCAAAAACTTCAGCAAAATGAACTGGGACATATGACGGTTTCTAAATTGGTAATTCCTCCTATACATACAAAAACACATTTGTTCATCAAACGAGAATGTTTCGGCATTACAAACTAAGTAGTAGGTAAGTACGAATTACGATATTATGAACTATATAGCGGACCTCTATTTGCCTTGGCCTACACCCAGGGCTATTTGGCTATTTGTCTATTCAGCGTGGGACCAAGCCGTGTGAGTATTCAGTCTAGTCCAGTCCGGTAGCACCGTCGGTACCAGTCAAGTCCAGTCCCATCATTTCGTTGGGATTATACCCAACTGCAGTCTGTATCTTGAGGCCTTCTTCATTTGCACAGTTTCGAAGTACGTGGGCGTTGAGTCTACGACGGAGCTGTTTCTCTCCGCTCCACCATCTCCACCTCCCACCTCATCTCTCTCTCCTCCACAGTGACGGGATCGCCACCCGGCGAGCCCGTTACACTGGTATAAGAGCAGGAACATTCCCCGCTTCCACCCATCCGACCCCGTCAAGCAGCAAGCAATGGGCTAACAAGATTTTGAGGTGTTTCTGAGCGGCGAGAGCGAGGACGACGGGAAAAAGGTGCAGCAACAATGCAGAGAAGCGGCGGGGGAGAAACGTTTGGACACGTGGCACGCGTGTGCACGGATTTTGAGATGTTTCGGAGTGCCGAGGGCGAAAACGGCGGGAAAAAGGTGCAACGGTGACGTAGCGAAATGACACACCTATCTGTGACACGTGGCACACACTCGTGTGGCACACGTGTCAGGGGAGAACAATTTTGACAGGTGGCACATACGTGTGCGCACAAAGACCAAGGCCAAGGCCGCCACACGCAGGCACGTGTGCACGCCACGCCTACGCCTACGCCCGTCCCAACCCTCCCAAATTTATGTATTTTAAGATCTGAGGTGCATGCTGCTTCTGCTAGGGTTTAAACCTGGGCAACTGCTGCCCGTGCGTGTGTGTGGCCAGTGCCTTAACACACTAGCCACAGTCTACATATGATTTAATTGTGTGGCACGTCACTGTTGAAGAGTGCTACGTCAACTATTTAGCCCCCCCCCCCTCTCCCACCGAAGGCGAGCAGCAGGCGAAACACCAGGCGGGCTGCTATTTGCCTCCCCCCCTCCCAGTGGCTGCTGCTACCTACGCACGTGGCCATTTGCAGTGCCACGTGGCAGCGTGTTGAGGGACTGGAAGACCCTCCTGACTAGGGGCGTACAGTACAGTGGTATCTGGGTGGATGATCAAAATCTCAACTTACCCCAGATACTTATTTTAACTGCAGATCTGATTTATATGATCAAATTTTACTGCTGCAGCAACAATTGCCCACCATTTTGAAAACTCATTTTCCCAAGGGGTATTTGAAGGCCAAAATCTTGTGGTCTTGGTCATTTTTCTGCTCTCGGCCACCCAAGAGTTGGGTATCACCTCTTCTCCCACTAATCAACTCTCTCCACTATTTTCCCTCTCCCCTCCATCCTCTCATCATTTTTTTTCACTCTTCTACGAATCTCTCACCCTTCACTCATCTTCTACCATATTTTTTTTTCTCCCTTCTCCTTACTCACCCTCTTCTACTGATCTCCTATTCTCCTCTCTACCTTTTCAATCCCTTTCTTTCCCATTCTTCCACCCTCCTCTCATCTTTTCTTCCCCCAACTAAAACCCACCATCCCCCCCAAAGTACCAACTCAAAATTTCTTTATATCTCACCGCTCTCTCTCTTTTCTCATCACTTTTTCATCTCTCCCTCCACTAACTTCAATTTTTTTTATTTTTTTTTTACTTTGATTATTTTTTTTTCTTTTCTTTCTAGAAATTCGAATTATTACCTCCTTGTTTTTCATTTTTTTTATTTATATATACATTTTCATTTTGAAAATTGTAGTTTCTCTGTGGCACCCTGAAATCTTTTTAGGACTTGGCCATTTTTTTGGTTTCGGCGCACATTTTAATCGCTTGGGGTAACGATGTGCAACCGAAATTTTCTCTTCCTCCTTATATTTATTTTTCTAGCACATTTGGCGAAATTTTATTTTTTTACTAAGTTATTTTCTTGCTTGGCACACTTTGACCCCATGGAGGTAACAAAATGTTGCCGGAATTTTTTTAAAATTGAAAAGTTGAAAACTTAGTTTTCTGAAGTTTTCTCTCCATTCAAAAATTGAAAAACTGAAAACTTAGTTATTTTTTTGAAAATGTAATTTGTAGTATTTTGAATGTAAGTGTGCTTTCTTGGTCTTTTCTCTTCTTTGGGGCATGAAAATGTTGCCGAAAGTTCCAAAAAAGTAAATACTCTTTTTTATTTCACACCCTTTGCTTATTTCTTTATTTTTTATGTATATTTTTTAATCTATTTTTATCTCAAAATTTCACGAATTTTTTTTTCTTCCCCCCTTCTCTCAAGGGTTGTTATTTTTTTTTCTTGATTAGGTTACCGCTACTCCACTCTAACCCCCCCAATTCTGGTTAGGATTTTCCTAGGGTTTAGGGTTCTCCTACCGCCCTCATTTCCTGGTTCCTCCCGTCGAACACCCTGAACCCGGACAAATACTCTCCACTCGAACAGCTCTGCGCCAACCACCCGGCGGACCCATTACAAACTAAGTATCAACTTAGTATGGACTACGACATTGCAAACTAAGTACGAACGAAGTACGAACTAAGTATAAGCTAAGCACGAACTAAGTACGAGCTAAGTACAAACTAAGCAACTCAGTACGGACTACGATATCATAAAATCCCTGCTAAGTACATACTACGACATTACAAACTAAGGAGTCGAGACGAGCTAATTACGAACTACAAGTACGGATTACGATATCTTAACTCTTTGGGATGAATTGACCGATTCCCAACTATTCGCATCACTGTCTATGCTTAATGAATGTCCAAAACCTTGGTTAAGAAACATACCAGACTATGATCCTCACATAATAGAACCATTGGTAACTCGCATCTGCCACACCGATGCAATGATTTCTGCAGAATGAAATCTGCTAGGGCATGGCCGAGTATGAAAAATACATTGTAATTTGTAAACTTAACGTTGAAGCTTATATTTCAATCCGGTCAAGAAGATCCATGGTAACAATGAGCCTAACTCAGTTCACCTATGAATACAAACAAAAGTTTGAATCCAAATACATATCTGCACCGATCAGTTCAATAATGATGTATTAAGGTAATCACCTTTTTTTTTTACCAATGAAAAAAAGCGGATTAATGACCCTTGTCAGATGGGTAGGTACAATGATAGTCAGGTACAGTCAACGAGTGCAGTCATCTATGTATTTAAACAAAAAGACTGACTTGGGTCACGACCTTTCTACAATGTGGACACAAAAATAGTTAGATAAAAATGTATGCCTGTACAGTCTGTACCTAAATCCGTTCATGTTTATTTTACTCCCCCAACAGAAAAAAATCGAGACTAGATGGAGAAAAAACACAAGACTTAGTATGCCCTATGGTTGGGCGTATTATAACAGAAGGGGCCATGTCGGGGGACTACACCTCCCATCGCCTAGTAGAAGAAAGGCTACGTTTCAAACACGGAATGCCATAATGTATTATGTACCAATCTTTCTTCGTGCCCAGATCATGCTAATTTCATGTTCTCAGACTTATGTTTTCACCACTCTCTCTGTATGCAACCCAATACATGTTTATATTACTTTACGACTTTTTGCTTTACATGTGTGATTGAGCCCATTATATGTATCTAACCCTTTTTTATCGACCTGACCACAATTGCATCAAGTCCATAGCTAATAAAAAAAAAAAATTCCTGAAGGAAACCTAGATGGAAAAACATGCACAGAACAACATCATTTATTTTGTACCCGTCTTTCTTCATTCCTAGATTCATGCCAATGTCATGCCCATTTCATCCCTCTACATTTGTGTCAAAGCTATGTTGACCAACGACCGAATTGCTCCAGAAAAATAAATTACTAGATCGTTGGATTGGTAGGTCTTCACAAACCATTAGAAATGATAAATCGAAACAATCCAAGATCACTGGCAATCTAAAGATCACTAGATTGCTACCGAGCATTATCTCAAGATCTATAAATCTCCAAAACAGATTGAATTCTACATAACTACTATATTGCTCGGTGGACTACTTAATTGTTAATATGCTCTTCATGAAGGGCATCTGGTAAAATTGGAATGATACATAATGCATAGGATGATTAATTACCATGATGATCCATACACATTCGAAGGTAATACTCACAAGTAAAGAAATGGTCCCCAAACGAAAGAAAGCTTAACCGATCATG